AAAAAAAAAAAAAAAAAAAAAAAAAAAAAAAAAAAAATCTAGGGCCAGGGATGTAGCTCAGTGGCCCTGTCCCTGCCTCGCAAGCACACAAAGTCCTGAGTTCAATCCCCTGGCACCAAGAAAAAACAAAACAAAACAAAAATCTGCATACCGCCTAACTATGTAGAGTTTAATGTGGGGCAAATGAAGTATTAGAGAGAGAATGGTGGAAGTTGGGTATGGTGGTGCATGCCTGTAATTCTAGTTTAGGGAGGCTGAGACAGAATAGCAAGTTTGAGTCACATATGAGCAGAGTACTGAGACTGTATCTCAAAATAAAAAATTAGAGGCCAGGAATTTAGCTCAGTGGCACCGTGCTTGCCTTGTAAGCACAAGGTCCCAAGTTTGATCCCCAGTACGAGGAAAAATAATAATAATAATTATTATTAGAATAAAGAGGGCTAGGGATTTAGCTTAGTGGTTCTGCTGCCTGCTTCGCAAGCACAAGGTCCCAAGTTCAATCCCTAGCACCAAAAAAGCAAAACAAAACAAAAATGAATAAAGAGCTGGATATATAGTTCAGTGGTTTGGTCCCTAGTACAGAAAAAGAAAAGGATTGATAAGAAAAAATGTACTATAAATAAAATGTTTCAGCTGTTAAGCCATCCCCAGAACACTACATTTGTACTATGCTAGACACTAATAGCCACTAAGCATGTGAAATGTGACAAATGTGACTGAGGTCCTGAATTATAAATTTTATTTAAACCAAGTTTAACTTTTTTTTTTGAGACAGCATCTCACTATGTAGTTGAAACTGACCTGGAACTCACTATGTAGCCCAGGCTGGTCTCGAACTCACAGCGATCCTCCTGCCTCAGCACCCGCCCCCCAGAGCTGGGATTATAGGCATGCACCACCCACGCCTGGTTTCAAACCAAGTTTAACTTTTAAAAGTCCAAATGAATTGGCCAATACTGAAAACTAGGACTGGGGAGGCGAGGCCATCTGGAGGAGGGACACTGACGGTCGGACCGAAGGCAAAGGGTGCTGCCCAGGAGTAGACCTGTGTGTCACCCCCACTGCTGCTTACCTGTGCAAGATTCGAGCAGGAACAGAACCTGCTGCAGGTCCGAATGGCAGAGGTCAATGTCACTGCGGGCCAGCTCCAGCTCACTCTTCAGCACCAGGAACAGGGCACACCTTTTTGGGAGGGGAATAGAGAAGCAGTCAGTGGGATATTCTGTTCTCCTTGCCCCTTTCACACAGAGTTGTCACCATCTTGCCTTGCTTCCAAAAGACCTTCCTTGATCCCTAAAGCTGACTACAGGCTCCCTGGAGCCCCCTGTATGCAGATGAGATTTTCTAATTGCACTCCTAAAAGAAATCTTGCCAGAGAATAAACTTAGGGAAATGCAGTAGTAGATCTTTCAAGATATTAGCATACTAAGAGACACATGGAGTCCATAGAAAATAAAACCTCTAACCTTGATTAACTTAGCATTCCATGGAATGCCTTCCACCAACCCCCTAAACATAATGTTTGTTTTTGTTTTTTTGTTTTTTGAAACAGGGTCTCACTATGTAGTTCAGACTGCCCTGGAATTCACTGTGTAGCCCAGGTTGGTCTCAAACTCACAGTGATCCTCCTGCCTCAGCCTCCCCAGTGCTGGGATTACAGGCGTGTGTGTGCCACCACGCCCAGCTACCATAATGTTTCTTTCTAGAATAGTCTGGGCATCTACAACCTAGATTGTGTAACGCGGGGTCAGAATCAGGATCCTCTCCAGCCCTGCACTCACTGGCGTGGGAGCTGCAGCTTCATTGTAAGTTTCAGGGCCTCCAAGCAAAAAGCCTTGGCTTCACTTGCACTCCCTAGGCGGCTGAGGCAGTAGACCAGCTTCTCCGAGCAGCTCAGAACCTCTGAAAGAACCTGCCATTTTTGTACCAGATTTTCTCCTGTAGCAAAGGAGAGAGAGAAGACCCCATCACTTAACAACAGTCTGGGATGCTGGAGAAGAAACTGCCAGCCCCACCATCACAATCTAGCCCGTCTGTCTGTGGAAGGGCCCCTGTTGTCCTCCTCAGACTCACCACAGTCCAAAAACGGCGTCTCCACAACTGCTTTCTGAAGGGAGAGGACATCACTGCCCATCAGTAGAAGGATGATGCTTCGGAGGAGCTTGTGGGAATCTATGAGTGCTGTCTCAGGTGTCTGCCAGCCTGTGGGGAGGTGAGAAGAAAGGAGGAGAGATGTGGCCGGGCCTACTACCAGCTTACACTACTAAGACAGCAAGTGCCAAGCTTTCTGCCACCCTTCTACACCTGAGGAAGACAGAGCGAGTTGGGCATAGAACTCTTCTCTGAGACAGCCATGGGCTCTCAGAACTCTTTTCAGTCTGGTCTTCCAAGCCGTTACTGGTCAATCACAAAGGTGGTGGGAGAGACCTCTTAGGTGCCCCAGGTCTCCTCTGTATGGCTCCTGCTCCCCATAGATGCACAGCAGAGGGGATGACCATGGGAAGAGCTCAGCACCGACAAACCACACCCATCCTCCAGACCATCAGCCCTACTCTTTCACCTTGGGCCCAGAGCTGCTCCCGCAGGGCATCTGAGAGGCTGTTTGATGAGAGGCTAAGGTAGACGGACAGCAGCTGCAGGGCCTGGACTCGTAGCAAGTACCAAGCCTTGGATGTCTTCTGGAGGGCAGAATCCCGAAGGACAGTCAGCAACAGAGAGACACCCTCAGTCGTCTGAGAGACACAAAGGGCCGGAGGAGAGCTGTCAGATATGCATTTCAGAGTCTGAGATGAACCAGAAGTCATAAGGCCCAACCCTGCTTTTAAAAATGAAAAAACTTTGAGAGAAAAATTAGAGCCCGAGAGGGTACAAGATTTGGCCAGTCTGTAATCCCAGCACTTGGGAGGATGGGGCAGGAAAATCACAAATTTGAGGCCAGCCTGGGATACATAGTGAGACCTTATATGAAAAAACAGATAGAAAGATTTGGCTAAAACAGCTGGGGCAGGGATTTGGCTCAGTGGTTCCACCGCCTGCCTCACGAGCACAAAGGCCCAAGTTTGATACTCAGCACCAAAACAAAAAAACAAACAAACACCACACAGCTAAGCAGGACATAGTGGCACAGACCTATAATCCCAGCACTCTAGGAGGGTGAGGCAAGAAGACTGCAAATTCAAATTCAGCCTGGGCAGCTTAGTTTATTTGGTGAGACACTGTCTCAAGATAAATAACTGATGATGCATGTTGGTGCAAAAGCCCTGGGTTCAAATCCCAGCACCACAAAAAATTCCACATACAGGTAGTCTGGGAGAAGACACAGGGCTTTTGGATCCCCCTGATTATCTTTTCATTTTCTCTCTCTCGTTCTTTCTTTCCTGACCAGGGACTCACTACGCAGCACAGGCTGGCCTTGAACCAATGGAGATCTTCCTCCCTCGGGATCCTGAGTGCTGGGATTAGATGCATGTGCCACCAGGCCCAGCTAGCACCCTGACTTTCTAGTTTATGACCCTAGCATCTTCCCAGGGTCACTGTCTTCCTGGTTTCTGTTCTCCATCGCCCCTGTAGAAACTGGAAAAAATGAAAAGGATAATAATATCTCTACTAGAGGATGACAGACAGAGCCAGGAAATTTTACCACTTCACAGGGTCAGGAACACTCTGCCTACCTCCACGGACAGCTCATAACCCAGACAAATACCCTGAAAACCCTAAAATGTTCCTGACATGGAACCGCTGTGGATTAGAAAGTGAAAAAATGAGGGCTGGGATATAACTCAGTGGTAGAGTGCTTGTCTAGCATGTATGAGGTCTTGGATTTGATATTCAGCATTAGAGAAAGAAAAAAAGAAGGAAAGGAAGAAAGAGGCAGAGAAGGAAAGAAGGGAACAAAGAAAAGTAAAGTAAGAAAATAGGAAATACCTTCTGCTGAGTCCAACAGAGCTGACTTCGAAGCAGGTGACAGGTGAGGGAAAGCAGCAGGTGCGTGTCCGTGGTCTCATTGAGATGCATCAGGCTTGATTCGGCTTCTTCCAGGTAGAACTAAGGAAGCAGTCAGCAGAGAGTGGGTGAGCAGACGAAGGAGGAAGCCAGATTCTTCAAATTAATGTGGAGCAAGCATTTGCAAGTCAAATGCTGAACGTGACAAATTAATTATTAAATTATTTCAAGTATGACAATCTACATAACGTTATTATTCACCCACTCACTACCATGTTCATTTAACACTTTCTGTGAACTACCATGCTAGAAAGACAAAGCTGAGTGAACAGCAAACAACTTGCTATCTAACCTCTGCCGAGGAGCGAGGACACAGGCACCGGAATTTAATCACAGGAACAGTGCCATGGGGTGCAGTCCTGGGGGAGGGGGACCTAGAAAGTAGTTGGTGAAGATGTAGGTGTATAAAATGTTTCCTGAAGGAAGGAACAACTGAGCCAAGGCCTTGAAAAGAGCACAGAGGTTTGCAGAATGAGAAAAAGGGAAACAAGGAGAGGTGCGCTTCCGGTGACAGGTACATACAGGAAACAGGAAGTAAAGGGTAGGAATGGGCATGAAGCATGTAGTAGCAAGCGGTAGAAAAGTCAAGTCTGGATAGTGTGCTTCAGTAAGGGAGAAGCAAACCATGGAAATCTATAAGGTGGGACCTGTGCCTATGAGTAGTGGTTAGAAGATGAAGTCAGAAAAGGAGGAAATGGGTGGGACTGGTGATGTAAGTCAGCGGTAGAGCACTTGTCTAGCTCTTGTCTAGGGCTTGATCCCCTATACTGCAAAGAAAATAAATAAACAAAAAAGAACAGCAGAGACCAATTAGGAGACACTGTGACAGATGCACAGCAACAGCTGGGAAATGCAGCATGGGCAGCAGATTCCTAGAGCACAACTGTAACTATGAATAACCAGCTCTTACCCTAAGAAAGAAGCCTCCTCTTCCCATAGCCACCTGCCACCACTCCACACCCTCCCCGCCCTCCAGCCAATGTAATGGTAGAAGGCAGGGAAGCTGCCCCTTCCATTTCCTGTCTTTTCAGGAGGAAAGATGGACCTCTAAGACATGTGTGACCTGCAGGCCGCAGGTTCTGCTTGCTGCCGCTCACCTGGGCATAGCTGGGACAGCCGAGACTCAGGAGGACCTGGGTGAGGTGGCAAGAGGAGCTGGCTGCTTTCAAGTGGTCCTTCAGTCTCTCAGAGACAATCCGCAGGAGCAGGAGGGCCTCCAGGGCCTGCAGGGGCTGGCCAGCCAGAAGTAGCAAGTTGACTCCACTCCCATGCAAGCCTCCATTTCCACCCCCACCCCAGCACAGTGCACCTTGGTCAGGGGCAGTGTGGCTACACATACAGAGACCAGCCTGCGAAGCACCTGCCCCTTCTGTTTAAAAGCCCAGATGCATCAGCAACTGGCAGGACTTACTGTGCCTACCATGTCAGGCACTGCACCAAGAGGTTGCACGCAACATCTCACTGAATCTTCAGAGCAAATCAAATCCAAGTTTCACAGCACAGGAAATAAGAACTCACACAGGTGAGGTTGCATGTCTAAATTTACATAACAGGTATTTGGTAGAGCCAAGATTCAAATCTAGGGCTGAGGTACCTTCCCAGCCTCCCTGGGCTGGAATATAGCCTAAAGACCACAGAATCAATGCTCCTTTATGGGCAGCATTTTTTGCTTTTTGCTTTAAATTTCCTAATGTGGGGTCCAAGAAAGAGCTTCACAAAGTGTATAAAGCCCACTGCAATTGTATGTAAAAGTGTAAACCTATGTTTATTTTTCTCACTATTTAGGCCTGAAATTATCTAGCAATTGTTAATAATTCCAGCTAACATTTGAGTCTTCTGTTTATATAAAACATCTTCCATGCATATTGAACTGAATGCTAACACTTTGAGGTATACTACTACTGACCCTCTTTAAAGATAAGGAAAACTAGCCAGGAATTAGCTCAGTGGGGGAATTAGCTCCATGACACTGCACCTGCCTTGCAAGCTCAAGGTCCTGAGTTTGATCCCAGGTACAAACAAACAAAAAAAGCCCACAAAAAAGCCTCAATAAAGACAGGGAAACTTGGATTTTGAGGGTTAGGGTTAAGGTACATGTCGGAGGCTATTTACTAATAAATGATAAAGCCTGGAATTAAAAGTCTGGGAGCCTGGTGACGAAGCCCAGCTCTGAATCACTGGTTACGGGGCTTCTCAGCAGGTTCACAGGCTGATGAAGGGGAGGGAGCTCTGATTTGGGTTAGCCCCATCTGGAGAGGGCCCCATCGATGCCCAGCCCTGTTACCTTTGCCACCAGCTGATAGAGGGCCACAAGGATCTGCAGCGAGGCTACTGTCTGTTGGAGACATCGGACAGCTGGGGTCTGCCCCTCTGTAAGGACCTCCTTCCACAGAGCCAGGGCTTGGTCCAGGGATTTGGACTGAGCTAAAGGACAAAAGAAATGACCAGTTTGTCTTCATGGGTCATCTGGAGAGAACTGGGTCTCTACATAACATCCTCTTGCTCCCCCGCCACCTGCCTCAGCCTCTTCCATACCAGGGGTCTCTGCTCTGCTCTCAAGAAGCACAGAGTGCCCATGTCAGGCTGGCCACTGCCCTTACCTGCATCTGCAGCCAGGTTAAAGGCAATGTTACTATATAGAAAACGATCTTCCTGGAGTTTATCTTCATAGTTGAGATCATTGACTTCAAATTCCTCCAGGTTACTAGGAGCCTGGGCTCTCCGGTCCTGCTCAATACCCTGCATGGGTAGATCAAGGTACAAAACTAGGCTGGTACCAGCTTACAGGGATCTCAGGGAAAATTATTGCTACACCCAATTTTATCCAGCCAGACTCACTTCCCGCATTTTGGCCTCCAAGGTACAGATATAGAGCCATAGCAGTGCCTGTGCTTTATCATCCAGAAGCTGATTCTTGGTCTGAGCCTCTGGCTTAACAGCCTCCAGAAGCTGCAGGGCTTCCTGGATAGCATCCAGGGCAGAGCTGTAGAGAGAGGATGCACATAGCTGGGCCCATTTCCGGCACCGACTCTAATGCCCCGGGAAGGGCCTGCTGCAAGACAGTGGGTACCACATGAATGAGTTCATGGCCACATGATGAAGGAGACACTCAGCAACACAGAGAGAGAAACGGACCCCAAAAAGAGTAAGAGGACTCAGAGCAAGGGGCCAGAGTGTCCTCCCCAGCTACTCCCCCTCACCAGTCTGTCTGCTGGGCAAAGTCGTGGTAGCAGAGCACCTGAGCCAGTTCTACCAGGTGGGTGGCTCGGGCCCAGGCCCCGGCCGGTGTCTCCTCAGGACTCAGCTCCAGCAGGTCACAGATGACATTGAAGCGCTCCTGCCCAGTGTCAGCCCGCACCGCCTTGTAGGCCTGCAGCTCCTCCCTCAGCAGGAAGACCAGGGTCTCTGGGTCCCAGCCACTCAGGCCATCTCGCAGAGTCCTGAGAGAGAGAGAGCAGACTCAGCACTATCCCCATGAGGTACAGCCTCTGTCCCCATGCCAGGGATCCCCAGCCCTACCATGCATGGCCCCAAGGCTCAGTGTGGGCTGGGCTCTGCCTACCTTGACCACTGCATTCTCTTGAGTTCCCAATCCTGTGCCCTCATCTTTCCAACTTACTGGCTTTCACAAGTAGCCGCCTAGCTCCTTCCAACCTTGGATCCTTTATGTTTACTATTCTCTCTCTGAGGAATTCTCCTCAGTGAAATCTTTTTATTTTGTGGTGCTAGAGACTGAACCGAGGGCCTTTGCACTGAGTTAACTACAACCTCAGCCCTTTATTTTTTTTATTTTGAGTCAGGTTCTAAGTTAAACAGTCTGGGCTCAAACTTGTGATCCTCCTGCCTCACCCTCTCAGAGTGCTGAGGTTACAGGCATGTGCCACCATGTTTATTTTTTTTCCAATCCCCAGTACTACCAAAAAAACCCCAAACCCAAAAAAACAGCTTCCCTAAAAAACCTGTATAAAGTTGCTCCCTCTTCAAATCCCTTGTCTTTTTTATTTATTTTTTTGGGTACCAGGGATCAAACTCAGGACCTTGTGCTTGCAAAGCAGGTGATGGCACCACTGAACTAAATCCCTGGCCCCAAATCCCCTTGTCTTTATGAAACATATGTGAAATGTACTTAGAGAACTTGAGGGTGGGGGAAGAAGAGAAGGAAGCAAAATATGTATCATAATCATATACTAATTTTAAAGAAGGAACAACAACAACAAAAAGGAGTTCTACTTGTGTTTTATATCTCCCCAGGAGACTATAAACTCCATAAAAATAGCTGGGTATGGTGGCGCACGCCTGTAATCCCAGCACTCGGGAGGCTGAGGCAGGAGGATCGCTGTGAGTTCGAGACCAGCCTGGGCTACATAGTGAGTTCCAGGTCAGTCTCAACTACATAGTGAGACCCTGTCTCAAAAAACCAAAAACCAAAAAAACCCAAGAACATTGCCTATCACTGCTCTACACCCAGTACATACAGTGGCTGGCATACAATAAGCATGAATGAAGGAATCACTGCCTTTCTCAGACACAAGGACTAAAGAATATGATCATGAATACAAGCCACCCCATGCATGGGACAGACATGGTTGTCCTCACCAACTCACTTCAGCTGTAGCTCTTTGTCTCCAGCCCTGGTTGCATCCATCTTGACCCGAACCCAGAAAGTGACTGGCTCAGCCATGTGTTCGGGACTGCAGGGCTGCAGGGCCGCCAGCCATAAGGTCACCATCTCACAGCCCTGCGCCTGTTTACCCAGTTTCTTCAAACTCTCTACATGCAGCCGGAAGCACCTGTGCAACTGACCAGAGAAAGGACAGACCAGGCTGGAGGGAGGAGCCAGCGAGTGCGAAGAGGCACGCACAGCCCCCTGCCCTACCCCCATCACCACCCTGGCAGGAGACACCGAGAACTAAGCACCCTGGTCACTCAGCCTCCAAGGTAGCCATCTACTGACCCGATGGTTGTCATCCACACCCTCTAATCCTTCCTCAGCAACAGGCACTGTCTTGACTCAACAATGCAGGGCCCTTCTAGCCTCTTCCTTCTCTCGCCCTCTGTTCCCAGCCAGTTACCAGGTTAAACCCGGACCTCTTGAGCCCACACTCTTCTCTCCATCCCTCAGCAGCTGGTTCAGTTCAGCCCCCACTGTCCTGCCTGGGCGGCCATAGCACCCTGATTCCCCAGTCTTGTCCCTTCCTTCCTTTCACCACAGTGCAATGCAAACGCAAATCTGAGGTCACACCTTCACTTCAGTCCTTCAGAGCCTCATCACCTCACTCAAGAAACCCCAGTCCAGACAATCCAACATTTCACAGGGAACCTTGGCTAGGATTTTGGTTCTCACTCTGGCTGTGCAAAGGACCACTCTGATGGGAACACTTACTTGTGTTTCTACTAGGGATAAACTCAGGGGCACGCTACCGCTAAGCTACATCTCCAGCCCTTTTTATTTTAAGTTTGTACAGGATCTCAATAGCTGTCCAGGTAGAATCTCAACTTATGATCTTCCTGCCTTAGCCACCCTTGGTGCTAGGATTGGAGGAATACACCACAGCACCTGGCTCAGAACTTTTAAAATATGTATGGTAGCTACCTGGGCTTAAGGGCTGGAGATTCTGACAATTAACTTGGATCAGGAATTAGAACTTTTAAAAAATTCACCCAGATTATTCTTTTTTTTTTTTTGGTACCAGAGATCGAACCCAGGACCTTGCACTTGCAAGGCAGGCTTGGTGCCACTGAGATAAATCCCCAGATTACCACTCAGGTTGTTCTAATGTGCAGCTAGGTTGCAAACCACTGACTTAGAACAAGGTTAAATATGAAAAATGAGTCAATCTAAAGAAAAAGATGAAGTAACTACAGGTAAGATTTATGAAATCCTACCCTACATACTGGGGCCAACTTGCAGCTCCTAATCCCCTACTCAAAGTAGGAGCCTGCAAGCTCTTTCACATTACTCCACCTCCCACCACACAAGCTCCCCTCCTCCCTTCCCACGCCCTCTTACTTTCTCAGGAGGCACCTCAGGGTAAGTGCCTGGCTTGGCCAAGCCCAGCTGCTGACAGAGCGGCTCGGAGATGGCACAGGCTTCAGCATAGAGCTTGTGACTATAGAAGCTGTAGGCCAAGTTACTGGTATAAGAGGCTGCAGAGAGAGAGAAAGGCCAGATGACCAGAGGAATGTCCTCAAGGAAAAGTGGTAGAGAGAGGCTCAACCTGGGATCAGCTTAGCAGCTTCCAGATCAGCCAGGGACCCCTATCAGCAGGAAAGGAACCCTCCCCTCCCTATCCCAGGCCAGCCCTTGCCCTCCTTCCCAGGAAGGTGAGCCCACACCAGCTCTCCCACTCTTATTTTACAAGGGCTAGGTCCTCATTCCCTCACAGGGCCCATCTCCTCACAGGCCAGTGTCTCCATCATACTCCAGTCTGCACTTTAGGGGAAGTGCTCTGGCCCGTCTCTCGCCTTCTCTCTCCCTTACTCCACTGAGGCCATGCAATGCTTCTTTGCTATTCCCCAAATACCAGAAGCCTCTCCCACCTCAGCACTGGCTGCTTCCTCTGCCAGGAATGTTCTTGCCCAGGCATCTACATGGCCAACTCCTACATGTTCCGTCTCTGCTCATGTCACCATCTGAATGAGGCCCATCCTGATCACTCACTTTAGGATGACAACTTGCTCTCACTCAGCTTAGACTCCTAAAATCCCTTTCTAACCTTGTTCTACTTTTCTTCCCTTGCCCCACATTTTTTATCACTTTCTAATATTTTGATAATTTACACAAATTATCTTCTCCCCCAAACCAGAATGCAGCTGAGCTGGAGATGTACCTCAGTGGCACAGCACCTGCCTGGCAAGCATGAGGCCCTGAGTTCAATTCCTGGTATAACAAACAAACAAACAACAAAGAACAGAATGCAGCTACATGAGCCCAAGGATTTTTTTTTTGTGGTACCAGGATCAGAGCCTTTGCACCGAGCTGTAACACCCTCAACTTTTTGTTTGTTTTTTGAGACAGACAAGACCTAAGTCACTAAATTATTCACCCTGGGCTGGAACCTGTGATCCTACTGCCAAGGCCTCCGGAGAGCTGGGATTAAAGCAAGCACTACCACACCCAGCAGGATTTGTTTTGTTCACTGACATCCAAGTACTCAGAATAGTGCTTGGCACAGTTTTGTTGAATGAATAAATTCCATGAACTTGTTTATACAGTTTTTTGGCTATCAACATAGAGATGGCTGGGAAAAAATAGTCGTCAGGATTCCGTGGGAAGAATTTTCATATTAATAATTTTGGGGAAGCTGGGTGTGGTGGCACACGTATGTACTCCTAGCTACTCAGGAGACTGATGCAATAGTAGCACTTGTGCCTAGGAATTCAAGGTCAGCCTGGGCAACATAGTGAAATCTAGTCTCAAATAAATAATGGGTTTGTTTGTTTTTGGTTTTTTGAGACAGGGTCTCACTATGTAGTTGAGGCTGACCTGGAACTATGTAGCCCAGGGTGGTCTTGAACTCAGAGGATCCTCCTGCTTCAGCCTCCCAAGTGCTGGGATTATAGGCGTGTGCCACCACACCCGGGTAAATAATGTTTTTGACTGCTGATTTTGTTGTTGTTGCTTTGTTTTTTGAAACATGGTAATACTTATAGTTCAGGCTAATCTTGAACTTTGGGCAATCCCCCTGCCTCAGCCTCCAGATTGCTGGGTATTACAAGGCATCCATTGCTACACCCAGCTAGACTGTTGATGTATTTTCATCCCTATGACTAAATTAAAAAACAGAGCCAGGAATTTAGCTCAGTAGTGCCACTGCCTGCCTTGCAAGCACAAGGTCCTGAGTTCAATCCCTGGTACAAAAAAAAAAAAAAAAAAAAAAATTCAAACACTGAGAATATGGAAAGTCTCCAAGCCAGGAGTGGTAGTACACACCTGTAAGCCCAGAGAGGCAGGAGGATGGGCCAAAATTTGAGTCTAGCCTGGGATACATAGGGAGTTCAAGGCCAGCCTGAATTAGAGACTCTGTCTCAAAAACAAAAAAAGTCTCCAAAACCTTCTCTTGACTAAACTCCTTAGGGTTGTATGATTTAAAAGGCCATCCTTTTTTTTTAATGCTTTTTTTAAATGAGGAAAATAAATAAAATGAGGAGGAAATATGTTATAAAGTACAAAGACAGGCAAAGCTATAATGATGGTGGCTGCTGTTCAGGTTGGAGACTGGATGGGATCACAAGGAGCAGTTTTCTAGGTTATAGACTATGCTCTGTTACTTGCCTAGATGTTGGTTACAAAGTATGTTCACTTCCTAAAAGTCCATCAGGCTGTACGCTTATGATCTATGCACTTTTCTATATGCCCATTTCAATATAAAGGGCAGGGAGAGTATATGTACATGTTGGTTTACATATACACAGACTATCTCCAGGATATACAGGAAATTAATATTAGTTTTTCCAAGAAAACTTGGAGGATTAGGAGTGTCACTTTCTACTGTATGTCCTTTTGTACAACTTTAATTTTGAACCATATGAATATTTTACTCAGCTTAAAATACTTAAGAGGGTCAGGGATTTAGCTCAGTAGTTCCACTCCCTGCCTCAAAAGCGCAAGGCCCAAGTTAGATCTCCAGTACCAATGAATAAATAAATAAACAAATAAAATAAAAATACTTAACTTGTAAATGTCCTTTAAACTTTAAACAAGGACTCTTGAAGACATTGGTACAGGATTTATGAACAAGGGCCGGGGATTTAGCTCAGTAGTCTCACTTCCTGCCTTGCAAGCACAAGGTCCTGAGTTAGATCCCCAGTACTAAAACAAAGACTTTATGAACAATACCCCAATTGCACAGGAACTATCACAAAGAATCAATAATTGGGATCTCATCTTATTAAAAAGCTTTTGCACAGCAAGAGAAACCATCAACATGGGGCTGGGGATTTAGCTCAGTGATTCCACTGACTGCCTTGCAAGTGCAAGGTCCCAAGTTCTATCCCTGGTACCGAAAAAAAAGAAAAAGAAAAAAAAAAAAAAAAAGAGAAACTACCAACAGAATGAAGAGACAGCTCACAGTGTGGGAAAAATTTTTTACCAGCAATTCCTCAGACAATGAACTACTATCTAGAATATATAAAGAACTAAAAACAAAACCCAAACCAAAAACAGATCCTCCCAAGTTTAAAGACCCTATCCAAATATGGGCATCTTAAATGAGTACACACTTGCTTCTCAGATGAAGAAGCAGAAACAGCAAATAAATACATGAAAAAATGTTCAATATCACTGGTCATTCAAGAGATACAAATTAAAACAACTCTGAGATTTCACCTTCCAAAAAGAATAGCTGTTACCAAGAAATCAACCAATAACAAATGCTGGATAGGTAGCCGGGTGTGCTGGTACATGCCTGTAATCCCAGCACTTGGGAGGCTGAGGCAGGAGGATCACTGTGAGTTCAAGACCAGCCTGGGCTACATAGTTCCAGGTCAGCCTCAACTACATAGTGAGACCCTGTTTCAAAGAACAAGCAAACAAACAAACAAAAACAAACAAACAAATGCTGGAGAGGCTGTGGGAAAAACCACTGTTGGTGGGAGTGCAGACTCTTGCAACCACTATAGAAATCAGTGTGGAGATTCTTCAAAAACTAAGACTAGAGGTTCCATTTGACCCAGCTATTTCCCTTCTTGGTATCTTCCAGAAAGAATTAAAAGTACCACAGTACCTATAATCCCAGCACTCAAGAGACAGAGGCAGGATTGCTGGGATTTGGGCAAGAACAGCATGGTAAAAGAGAGCCATCTTACAATGTTGCTCTTGAAAGTGAGGCAGTTAAAGATCACCCTTCGCTAAAGATGAAACTTGAGGTTGGTCCCTCTCCCTCAAAACCTAATGTTAAGGGTTGGAGATTTAGTTCAGTGGCACCATGCCTGTCTTGTAAGAGCAAGGTCCTGAGTTCGATTGCGGGTACCAAAATCAAAACAAAAACCTAATGTCAGCCGGGTGTGGTGGCTCACATCTGTAATCCCAGCACTTGGGAAGCTGAGGCAGGAGGATCGCTGTGAGTTCGAGACCAGCCTGGGCTACACAGTGAGTTACAGGTCAGTCTCAACTACATAGTGAGACCCTGTCTCAAAAAACAAACAAACAAAAACCCCCAAAAAACAAAACAAAACAAAAAAATCACTACGTACTCCAAACATATACTAATAGAAATAATTTTTTTAAAATTTAAACATAAATTGGTGCAGTTAGCATGTTCACTATTAACTGAAAGGTTGGTGGTCTGAGGCCACCCAGGGATGGGTGTGTCTACTGCCAAGCATAGTGGCTCACACTTGCGATCCCAGCAGTAGGAAGATTGCCATATAAGGTCAGTCTGAGCTACACAGTGAGTTCAAGATCAGCCTAACCTACAGTGAGACCCTGTCTCAAATAAATGAACAAAGAAACAAACAAGCACCATAAAAGCTAGGCAAGGTGTTGCACACCCACAGTCCCAACTACTCAGGAGGCTGAGGCAGAAGGATTGCAAATCGAAGGCCAACCTAGGAAATTTAGAAAACCCTATCTCAAAAAATAAAACAGGGGGGCCAGGGATTTGGCTCAGTGGTTCCACCACCTGCCTTGCAAGCACAAGGGCCCGAGTTTGACCCCAGTACCAAAAAAACCCCAAAAACCAAAAAAAACAGGGCTGGGATGTAGCACAGTAGGAGGCTCTGGGTTCAATCCTCAGTACCATGAAATTGATTAAATAATTAATTAATTAATAAAAAGGTCATAAGCCAGGCATGATGGTACATGCCTATAATCCCAGCACTTGGGAGGCTGAGGCAGGAGGATCGCTGTGAGTACGAGACCAGCCTGGGCTACACAGTGAGTTCCAGGGCAGTCTGAACTAGATAGTGAGACCCTGTCTCAAAAAAAATCCTAAATAAATTAATTAATTTTTAAAAAAAGGGTCACAAAGTTGCATATCAGGCACAAACATTTTCATGAAAAACTTATCAAATTTCAAAGTCAAGGAGGAAGCCAGGCATGGTGGTGCATGCTTGTAATCCCACACTTGGAAGGCTGAGGCAGGAGGATCACAGCAAGTTTGAGGCCAGCCTGGGCTGCATAGAGACCTTGTCTCAAAAAACAAAACAGGAGGGGCCAGGGACTTAGATCAGTAGTTCAGTTGCCTGCCTCAAAAGTTCAATCCCTGGTACCAAAAGAACAACAAAAAAACCCCAAAACAAAACAAGGCCAGGAATTTAGCTCAGTGATACCACACCTGCCTTGCAATCCTGAGTTCAATCTCTGGTACCAAAAAAACAAAACAAAACAAAAGTCAAGGAGGAAAAACTTAGTGCCTACTGTTCTTAGTTAATCCAGTTACTTCTCTACTGGTGTTGTAGTGTAACTGAGTCTATAAACATCTCTCACTGTCTCCTTAAACCACAAGTAGCCCCTACAGTGGTGAGAATCAACTAGCAAGGGCTATTCTTCTACTGAGTGATGATTTCCAAAAAACCCAGTATCTGAGCCCCAGGGTACTAACCAGTCATGGCCATGTAGTCCGTCAGCTCTTGGCCTGACAGGCCCTCCAAGGCCTTCAGCATCCAGAGAACAGTAGATCTGCAACTCTCTACTAGCTGGGCCAGGTCAGCCAAATCAGGTACCTACAGGGACAAGAAGGGCTTGACAGTGAAAGGAGTCATGCTATGGTCGAACTGACCTCCACCCTACCCCAACATCCAAAGCCAAAGCATCCTCCAAGTTCTGAGGAGCCAATGGAAGCCCTTGGGGCCAGTCCAGCTCCCTGGATTCCCAGACAGTACCTGACAACCTTGGGCAAAGTCATAAACCATCACTGTGTAGAGGTGAAGACCCTGAAAGTACATGTGCACCAAAGACTGCTGCTGCTTAGAAGAATCTGTACAGGCCTGAGGAAGGAAGCAGGGAGGTTGGTTTGAGGGGCAGAATCAGAATGAGCCCCAAGATTGCCCAGAGTCCTAGAGAGCTGACACAGCCAAGGGAGGAGGAAGGAAGACGTGGGGAGGGGGCCACGGTCCTCTCAGGACCGACTTGGCTGCTTGCCAGGCATAGTCCAGAGAGCAGCTCACCCAGGAGGAACCAGGCCTTACAGGTCTTGTGGAAGACTCTAGAACTACAAACCATCCTACTTCTAGGTCCTTAACTCACATAATCATCCCGTAGCTGCTGGATAAGACAGCAGTATCCTTCAAGAAAAGCAAAGAGGCTCCCAACAGCATCAGGTCCATAGTGTCTCTTGACACCTCGTTCCAGGCCTGAAAGGAGGAACTGGCAGGTGTCATACAACGTCCGAAGTGGGGGTGATGATGCCTTCATACTGTTGTTCAAGATAGCTGATGCCTTGATGAGAAGCTGGGTCACTGCCTGGAATCCTTCCTCCCCAGTTTGTAGCAGCTCAACCCCCAACTGGCATAGCTGGAGGCTGGGGGCTACACTGGTGTCCCTTAGGTAACCATGAGCCTTCTCCACTGCACTGGTGGCCTTGTCATAGTGGTGGCTCCAGCAGAGGCGACGGCAGTGTTCTAAAGTGAGCTCCAAGAGGCAGAGGGCCCTCTGGGAAGAAAGAGGAGTAGGAGAGCCACCTCCCTCACCCACCAAGGCTCTGATCACATGCCTGGAGAGCAAGTCATCTAGGAAATCAGCATCTGTTTTGTCTATACCACGCCCACTGGCATCAAATAGCTGATAGGCAGCTACCACTCGACAGGCTGTTGGAGAAGCAAAGTGAGGAACCTCACAAGGGGTACTTGCATCCTCCAGGAGGACTAGGAAGCTCAAGGCCTTCATCCGAGCTGAGAATGCAGCTCTCCGTTCCAACAGTGCTTCTGCTCCCTTCCAAAGCAGAGAAAAGCTGCCCCGAGCCACGGCCTCATAGTCCTGCGAAGCAGCTTGGTGAGAACACTGCATAAAGCAGGCATGGAGAGGCTGGGCAAGGTGGAGCATGGCCTCTGGGCTTTCCTGAGCAGCAGCAACATTCCGCAGTAAGATGAAGAGAATTCGTTCCAGGTAGAGGGGAGGACGCTGGGGAGTGGACTCCACGTAGCCATCGCAGGCCAGCTCTGCAAGCTCCAGGAGGCTCCCCAGGTGCCCAGGGCAAGACAGCCTGGCTGTGAGCTGCTGGTTGCAAGCCCTCAGGATGGCATCACAAGTTTGTCTCCTCTCAGTGTCAGATCGGGGAAAACCAGCTGGAGACTTGGACAGGAACTCCTACGAGAGAAAGACAAATGGGGCAAGGAGAGGTAGGGTAAGGAAATAGCTGCTCAGGAAAGGGTCTCCTACTTATCCATCTCTTCAAAATAAGACAAAACACAAAACAGCTGAGCTCAGAAAGGCAGGTGTGTCCTCGAGCCAGAGAGGACCCCCACCTTCAAGTCAGACAGCAACTCTTCAGCATCCTTCTGGCTGCTAAGTAGGGTTCCAAAATTGACTCCTTTGAAGTTCCTCATAGCGCAGAGAGCTGGGAAAATGAGATGGGGATTAGAGAAGGCAGGGAAGATCCGCTATGGAATTAACTGGAAGGAGGCAAAGAATCTCATCAGAAATCCTAACTGGAAAATACCCACGCCAGGATGGGTTATAAACTGACGCTCCAGCTCTGTCCTCCAGCCGATCCCTGCACTATACCACACCCTAACCTTGGAGGTCTCAACCTGGAGGCCTCTTCGATGCTCCCATGAAAGCTCTCCACACCCTCCTTCCCCAGCCGCTTCGTTTGTCCCCCAAGTGAGCGCTGGGGGACACCTCAATGCGAACACGAGCTCACCAGTCCCCTCCGAAAACCTGCTTCCTTCCCAGGTCCAGCCAAAGTTTCCCTCCAGAAAGAGTACTCCACCAGGTCCCAAAGGGTAATCGTTTTCCGCGCCAGCTCCTCCTTTCAAATATCGCTAGCGGCCAATCAGCGAGAGTGCGTAACGCCGGCGGGTCGCGTGGCACGCTGGGAGTTGTAGTTTATCTGCCGCAATGCCCCGTCACGTGACACAGCCGCGGGCCTGCTCTTCTGGACGCAAAGGCCTCTAGGGGGCGCGGGTTGGCCCCTTTTCCCAGCCAGGGCTGCGTTCTCGGTTTACCGGTCACTTACCTCTACAGGGAAGACCAACATCCTGCCTCCTTCAGGCCTTTATCTTCTGAGCTCAGGCAGACGTTTAAGTTTCAAGAAAAGAGAATTGAATTGGACACCTAAAACAATTTAACTGCATTCAGAAGCTCCAGCTCTTTGAGATACTAGAGAAAAAGGGTGTAACCTGTAGAATTAAGAGTTGTTTGGAGATACCAAAAGGAGTACAGTGACAACTGCCAGATCACTTAGGTTCTGCTCTCTCTTGGCCTTCCAGCCTTACTCCTTCCATCAGCTATGTGATTAAAATAGGGTCTAGTGCTCTTTTAGGAAAGATAAAGGGTAAGGTTGGGAGGAGGCTGTACCCGAAAATTAGAATTCATTCAATGAGATCTTTCACAGTCATGTGTCACCCACCCACCCCATCCACCCCGACCCTGTACTCGGGAGGGATTGAGCCCTGGACCTTTTTATTTTGAGACAGGGTCTTGATCTCGTTAAATTGCTAAATTGCTCAAGATGAACTCGAACTCGCAATCTTGTCTCAGCCTCCTAGAGTGCTGGGATTACAGGATTGCTCCATTATGTCTGGGTTTTACATGGTCCTTAATAGCAAGAACTAATCACTTCCCCAAACACACAGATTCAGCTGGCTCTGCTTCTCTTTCTTCCTCCTCCAAAGAATTCAGTTCAAAACTGTAGTCTTCAAATTAGCTTTTCCTTGATCAACTCTACTGGATAACATCCTTCTCTGCTCTTTTAGAGGCTAAGAGTCTGGCAGGGAAGATTACTCTTGAAGAAGAAAATGGAGGAGGAAGAGGAGGAAGAGGAAGACGTAGCAGCAGCCAGGCATTGGTGGCACACACCTGTAACCCTAGAACTCTAGGAGGCAGAGGCAAGAGGATCAGTCTGAAGCCAGCCTGGGTGATTTAGTAACTTAAGGAGACCCTGTCTCAAAATAAAAAAGGCTAGGGATGTAGCTCAGTGGGAAGGCCCTGGGTTCAATCCCAGTACAGGAGTGGTGCACATGACAATGACATTGCCAATGAATCTCGCCACTGGAATAATAGTTAATGCAGGTTGCCAGATGTGTGCTAGACATTTCATGTGTTTCTCCTGTTAGGGCAAGGAACCCAAGACAGGGAAGATGTTCATAAATTTTTCAGCAATAATCCTATCAGTTCTCTCAGTACTCATTTTCCCTTCCTTACATCTTAGCATCATACTCTTGTACAAGTTTTTTTGTGTGTGTACAAGTTTTTTATTCAGTGTTCTAAGGCTTTTTTAAATTATTGCTGCTGTTGTTACTAAGGTTCAAACTCAGGGCCTCACACGTGAGGCAAGTGCTCTGCCACTGAGCTATAGCCTTAACCTTTTTGATTTTTTTACTTTACTTTGAGACAGAGTCTCACTCAGGTGCCCAGGCTGGTTTTGAACTGACAGTTCTACCTCAATCACCCAAGTGTCTGGGGTTATAGGTGTGTACTACCACACCTGGCTTCCTTTTGTCTTTTCTCTGTGAAAGGAGACGTAGGTTGAATATTCCTTATCCAAAATGCTTGGGACCAGAAGTGTTTTATATTCTG